TCCTCTCTTCCCTTCCCCACTACAAAGTCATTGTGTTCAAAACTATTTGAGCCTCAGGGAAATGTTTAACTCTCTCATTTTACAATCTCCAGAGTCAAATGGTTACTTTTTCACTAGTGGTGTTTTGATGTGACCATTGGGATCACTTGTTATGATAGCTGGCACCATGCAGTCTGTTGTTCAAACTTTTTCCCAGAGATAGTCAAACCTTTTAAGTAAACCATTTTTATTATTCAAGTCCTGTGGTACTGGCAAGTGAATTAAAGAAGCACTTTGTAGATGCCCTAAAATATATATACTAGTAACATAGTTACATAATCAAAAATTAACATTACAGGGCTTAAAATATTTGTAACACTGAAAATATGCTTTAAAAAATCCTCAGTTGTGTACATAAAACTCTCCCTCTCCTCTCCCTCTCCATTGACTATTAATTATGTGTTTAAACTACAAAACTAACAACTAGTTCATGCAATGCAAACCAAGTACAATAAACATCCAACAAAAAAGTTATGGAAGAAGACATTTTCTTCCATCCTACTTAAACAGGAATCTTATCAGAAACCTTAGATCTTTGATGTTAGATGGAAATACTAATTCATATAATCTGAAAGTCAGTCAGGCCAGGCAAAACAATTTCTGCAAACAAAGTAATCAGAACACATCCATCTAAAAAAAAAGTTAAAGTATCCTAAAAGAACATTCATAAGCAAATTATACTCCATTTCCTTGGTCTTCATTTTTTATGCTCCTGTTTTAACTTCTTAACCCAGTCAACTAATTTTAGATAAACATGTTTGCAACTTGTTTGAAAAGTATATCTCTTATTCAAGGATAATTCTTTACTATAATTATCTAGGAAACACAAAAACAGAAGCAGCAAGTACACATACCAAAGAGAAGGCCCACTAGGCTAAGCTCCCCAGAATAACAGAGTTGCAGAAAACAAAAATTAAGGGCAATCATCAAATAGGAAATATGAACACCAATATTTACTCTTTAAGAAATATAACAGTGACCACCAAAATTATAAAGGGCATAGAAACTGCTTCTAATTCCTATAAGTTTTCACTTTGTGATATTTAGATGAACAGGTTAAAAAAAATCCCAAGATTAAAATTAAAGTTATGAATAGACTTATTCATTGAGCATAGGATTTACTTCTAAGTAAACAAATGGTTGTAGTGTTCTAGAACACTTTAGATGTACAACATTTTAGAAAATCTTCAAAATATAAACTAGATACTAAGAGTAGCCTTTTTCAACTGGGACTCTCTAAATGCTCTCTCAGAATTCTGGAAGCTACAATCCCAAACCATTCAGGCATTCAATTGGAAAGCACTGGTCCAAAATAGTTTTTTTTAAAAAGTAATGGAAAGAAGCAGCTGAGATCATGTAGTACTCTTGAGAGGATTGCCAGTACAAGTCATAACCAGGTCCATTTTCATGGAATCTCTGGGTTACAAATTAAGTCAGAAATAAGACTGTTGTTGAAATTCCACACTGCTTCAAAGGCTGTCTTCTTCAATAGTGTCAATTTATGGTTGTTATGGCAGCCCTTGGTTTAGAATAGTACATCATTTCAGAAGGTTTCTTAATCCTCAATAGCAGCTTTTTAAGGAATCCAGGAGGTTGTAGTATGCTCGCCCTGTGCAAGCAGAAATAATGCAAAGTATCTTTTAGAACACCCCTAATCCATTTCTCCCATAAAAATCTTACAATTAAATGAAAATATTTATTATTTATTCCCTTTACAGAGATTCAAATATTTTTCCACAACAAATACAAGTTTAATGCACAATTGTTTTTTCATTTGGAATAGTCCCCATTCTATTTGCTATTTATTTCTATTTAGTTATTCCTAAATAAGCATAAGCAAATAGTATTGTATTAAGTGAAGTTGTACTAAGAAGTTACTGATGAACTATTTGTTTCAAAAGAAACTATCATAAACAAAATGCACAAAATGCTTTCTACTATCACAATATGATTTTAAAAAGACACATGTTATATGAAGTTCTGAAGTAATATTTTTAAATGTGGAAAGAAATTAACAAGCATTGCAGAGTACACATTTATGTTTTTCAGTATGAGCATTATTTGAAATGCAAGCATTATGATAAAACTGAATTACAATACTTTGTTCAAGATACAGCCATAAGAACAAAGTATTTCCCCTGAAGAATTCCTATAAAATGAATCTACTGAGTATAGTGAAAACAGAACGAGGAAGAGGGGTTGAAAGATGTTTTTTGATATAACTTCTTAAGAACAACAGAAATATTCATGCACTTATTTATACTGTCCCTGTAAATAATACACAATTTACTTTTATCATTCTAAATCTTGTATTTGGAGTTCAAACTTTCCTTTAGATTCATAAATATTCCTATTTGTTTGTGGAAAATGCTAAAAAGCTCAGCGTTTTCAGAAAGTGGCAGATAACTAAATGTCAATAAGATGTTTATATTTCCTCAAATTCTTACAAAATTCTAATAAAAATCCCTTTTCTTAAAAAAAAGAAGTCAAGAATTGACATTCTTTTCCATGTTTGAAATAACTACACAAAATGGCAAAAGTTGATTAGACATAAACAACATTTATTTTCAAAATAGATCATAGTGTACTTTTTCCCAAGCTTCAGAGTATCTAAATAGCATCAACCAATCATTTATTTCCAAAACCTGGTTATCTTTCAGTAATAAGGATCAATCAGGAACTGTAGCATGGAGTAGGCTATCCTCTAACAATGGGGCTAGTGGAAAATTCCACTGTGGTCTATGCAACTAGCAAAAGAAATGGAATGTCGGCTTACAAGTTGAACTTCCAATACATGAATTCAGTACTAGGTCTTTTATTCTTTGGGATTAAAGCAATGAATCTCCGTTAAAATAATTATTTAAAATCTATAAACAACTGGGTTTTTTTTAAAGAGCAGTACTCTCAGGAAATAACTGCTCTGGCCTACTTGACACTCTGGTGTTAAACCTTTTATTAATATATTACTATTTGAGATCATTCAAAATATTAGTACCATCAGGTCATTTAATTTCACCAAACACATGCAATCTCAAAGAATAATTATAGAGAGAATTATAATCTGTACCAATTCTCAATTCACTTTCTTCCTAAGTTTTCATTTTGCTTCTGCTTTGCTTTATTGATCCAATCTCTTGAAAATAGAAAAAAATCTGCTAGAATAGTTCTTCAGATATTTATTCATGGTCCCTGTCCAATTTTTAAGAAATAGAGATATTATAAACAAATTATCTTGTGTACAAGATGTTCTCTATCAGTTTAAAAACTTTAAACCTAGCACTAAATCCTGTGCAACAAATTAAAGAATGTTTTGTATGCATAAGCAATAACAGAAAGTCAGTTTGCTCTAACCCTAACCCTCTGAATGAGAAGTAATTCAACCAATACTTCACACATGCTCAGAAGCACCAGCATCAACTTCCATAGCTGGCTTAAAGTCAGGCTTCTAGATTCTTCATTCATAATCCATCTTTGGAAAGATACTTATGTTTAACCCAAAATCTATGTTAAAAGTTTGTCAATATCTTACTTCTTCATTTGTAGTAGTCTGTAACTGATCTGTAATCAGCAGCTAAATCAAACAGAATGGCAAATATAGCCATCTGTTTATTTAAAAATGCAAACTACATGGGGAGAGAGATCAGGAAATCCTTACTGAGCACTTTGTCCATCTCAAGGACATCTGTAGTCCTGGGAATGGGCACAAATTGGCAGAGGAATGTGGAGCAAAAAACAGGATGATGTCCCAGGAATTAGGATTGCTACTTCTCACATTTACACTTTCTATCTTGGCATCCCTGAAGAAACAATGTATGTACTTATTCTCCAAAGCATTGCAAGAGGAAACATGTTTCCTTGGTCTGCAGCATCAACACTCCCCCCCCCACACACATATACATAGATGATGCTGTTTTTAAATGGCTCCAACTATCTCTGCCCCCTGCAGCACACAGAAAAACTCTGCTGCTTGTAGAGAATTATGATTTACACCAGTTAAGCTTGGACAGCTCCATGTGAACAAAGGCATGGAAGAAAAAGAAGTAGGACTGGAAGATGCAAAGTGTGACCACCTATGCAAAGGAAAAGTATGAAAGGGGAACTATTTTTTTCTTTTTTCTTTTTTAAAAAAAAAAGGAAATTAAAGCCACCAGATGCTTTGAAACCTGAAGGGTATTTCCTGTTAATGTGGAGAAGAAAGAGACTGGTTGACAATCTTATGGAGAGAAAAAGTCATGTGTAGCCTGTCAGAGGAAGTACAATGCAGTTCTAAGGTAAGAAATTTATACTGCATAGCCACAAAATTACAAGTCTCAAAAGCCTCTTGCTTAGTTATCAATTATCTAAATTCAATACAGTAAATTTTAATCCATAGGAGCACAAAATCCCACCCCCACAAGCAATAGGTTCTGGGGAATTTAGCACCTTTGAACAACTTCCAATATGTATAGAACACTATAACCCTATTATTTTGAGACTGATACAGTAAAAAAACTAATATATATGAATGAAAGTCTATCTTGAAATCCTAGTGTACCAGTGCCCCTTTTTCATTTAGCTGTCCCTTAATCCAGATCATCACTGCAGGACTCAATCCAAAGTCTAAGAGTCACCCCTTAGTACAGAAGGTTTTTGTCTATTTGAGAAGAACACTTTTTAATATTTTTTCATTAGGGACTGCCCCCTAACAAAAACTACCTTGCAAACCCATGAAAAACCAACCACTTCTTGGCCATTTAGCGTGGGGTTGAAGACAGAATTCATAGGATTCCCCTTGCTCCCACCTGTTGGCATCTTTTCTGGTCTGGCAAAAGTCAGAGTGCCTCTGACACTGCCCCTCCCCCAAAACGGAGGGAAAGAAGGAAAACGCCACTTCTTTAACTCCCAACGTTTCTCGTGCGCAAGCTGACGAGCTGGGACTCTTTGAGGAAAAGCCACTTTATTTAACCCGTCGGGGCACTCACCTCGTCGTCGTGGTGCTGGCAATAGTTGACTCGGTCCGGGAAGACAGATAGGATGTTGTAAGGCGAGGCGGAATAGGGTGGGTTGAGAGCGAGCTGGGAGGCTGCCGAGGCGGGGCCGGTTCCCGCCGTCGCGGGCGGCCCTGGGCCAAAGCGCTCGATAAAGTGGTCCTTCGTGAGGCGAACGCGCTGGTGGGCGCGTACGCAGTTGTCGCACAGGTGCTCCTGGCAGTCGAGGCAGCGGGAGCTGGCGGCGTTGCCTTCGTCGCACGAGCTGCAGCGAGGCTCGCCCTGTCGGCTGTGGGGCCGCCTAAGCAGCAACGCGGAGCCACCGCCTCCCCCGGACGGCGCCGAGCCGGCGGCAGAGCCCGGGGAAGAACCACCCGCAGCAGTGCGGTGCTGCTGTTGCTGTTGAACAGGCTGCTGGCGGGAATGAGGGTGCCGGTTGTTAGTATTGCTGTTGCTCGCCGCTCCGCCGCCGCCTCCTTGGCCGCCGCCGCCCGGACGACCGTTGTTCTTCTGATCTTCGGCAGCGGCGGCGGCCACGACGACCACGTCGAGCAGGTTGCTGAGGAGAAAGTTGGAGGAGGGCAGCGCGTCCATGCCCGACGGCTCCGAGATCACCACCTTCTGGTCGCAGATGGGGCAGCGCAGCTTTAGAGAGTCACCCGCGGTTGGGTGGCGCTGCGCTTCCAGGCACTGGCGGCAGAAAGCGTGCAGGCAGGGCAAGACGTGGAGCCGCCTCGACGGGGTGCAGGATGAAGACACCCCCCCGCCGCCGCCGCCCCCGGAAGAGTTTGAAGTCTGAGAAGACGACGACGAAGTGGACGAATTAGAGGAGACAAGAGCCGGCGAGCCGCACATCTCCTTACACAGTGGACAAATCTGGAAATCTGACTCGGGGAACGAAGCCATTGGGAGGGGGAGGGGGAAGCGCAAGAGAGTGCGGCTAGTAAGGAGGAGGCGGCAGCAGTAGCAGCATGAACCGAAGCGAGCGACGACGACCCGCGTTGCAAGCCCTGGTGGGTGGCATCAATTAGTCGCTGTGTGGGGGCGCTGCGACGACTCCTGCTACTCCAAACCACTGTTCGCGGGCTAGGCGAGACGGGAGCAGCTTCAGCCGGCGTTCCTCTCGTCTTCTTCCTTAAGTAGCGTCAGGAGGAAGACGCTCCTCTGATTTGCCCCCTCCCTCGCTCTGCGTTTAAAGCTTCCCACCCGGGACAGCGCCTTCTTCCTTCTCTGCCGCCTCAGCGTTTCTCGGACTACGAGGCGAAAGAATGAGGGTTTCTTTAATAGAAAAGTGCATCGGGCCCTACTCCTTAAAAATCCAGCGTGAACTGGATCCGGTCGCGCGGCTGCCCTTCGCTTCCTTCTAGGGGAAAAACTGAAGGAGGAGGGGGGCGAAATCTTCTCTTTAGTTGGTGTATCAGAAGAGGCGGGTTGATGGCGAGGGAATGAGGAAAGGGCTCGGTTGGTGAAGGAACAGCGGGACCACTTGCTTCACTTCTCCTTTCTTGGGGACTCCGGGTTTCGGGAGACACGAAAGTTGTCCCGGAAGACTCTTCCGGCACCGATCCACCCCTGAGGGCTCCACCACCGCATGTCTTGAAAACGAGAAGCAGAGATGGCGATTCCTCCGGTGTAGCTTTCTGGGCAGGCAGGCTTCCGAAAGAAAGAGTGGGTGGGTGGGTGGTGCGTGTGAATGAATGAACGAGCACGCGTTCTTACTCTCCAGAGATCGTCTTCCTCACGGGTCCACGCCTTTTCCAGGTCTCCAAGCGGATCCCCCGGGAAGCCGAGTGAGCGCATCGATCAGGTCCTTTATTCTTTCTGGGGGTTTCCCGAATTTGCTCCTTTTTTGCTGCTGCCCAAGGGCGGCAGCGACACGCACGCGGTCTCACTCTTTCCTGTAGCTTGGGCGCACACGCGTTTAAACCGGCAAAAGGAGCCGCCTGAGAAAAGGACGGCGGCGGCAGGTTCCGGCCGGCCTTCCTGAATTATTCATGGGGGGCGTATTAGGTTCGATTGCACAAATTGCAACAGCGGTGTAGTGCTTTCCCCAGGCTGCAATCCGGCAGCAGCCTTCTTTTGCGCCTCGCTCCCTAAGCGCTGCGATCACATTTCCTTTGTCATTTCAATTCTTCGCGTGGTCTTCCAAAAATAATTGAAAACGAATTCTTTATTTTGCCCTCCGAAGATGAAAAAATCCCCAACGTGGTTATCAAGAAAATCTATGGGGGGAGGTGGGAGCGCCCGCCCACCGAGGGGTTAAATTAACAACAGTAGTGGCAAGAGCGTGGAGATCCCATCCGATTCTGCTGTAGCCATCGCGCCGGTGAATGGGTGGTTTCACTCCCCCTACGTTCCCCTCCCCCCCCCGACCCGCGATTTAGGTGAGCCGGATTTTTGCAGGGCGCCGAGATGCTGGCATTCCTGGTCGACCTCTTTCGGAACGCCTGTTATTGAAACCGATGGAGCTCGGAATCCTTTTAATCTCCAAAGGAGCGAACTCACTTCCGCCTGAGCTCTGAGGGGGCGGTTAAAGGGAAAGGGGAGGAGGGGAAGAGGAGAACTCAAAAAAGCAAACAGAAAACATTAACCCTCTGGGTACCGCTGCCTTTTGTGCGGGGCTGCGTCTTCTCGAGCTAAGCGTCGCGGTTCCGAAAGTTCCAGCTAGCGAGCGGGCTACAAAGCGGAAGAAGCGACAACTTTCAATGAAATATATGGCGGGTCTTTTTTCAAAATAGCGGCACAGACGTGGGAGATTAAGAGTTAGCGCCGGGGAAACCTGGTTTCCTCAAACTTACCTTTAAAAGCATTAAGGTCTTTAAAGACCTCAAACTGCTCAGGCTACTCCCAAGCACCCAGCATGTTTTGTCTGAAAGAAGCCCAATTCAAGCTTTATTCAGATGTACGCCCAGTTTTCTACTAGAATTCTCTTAAGTAACTTTAATCTTGCAACGTTACAATATTGAAAGAATGTTAGTTTTTAATTAACATTTGAATGGAGAAGGATTAAAACCATGTCGCTAAAACCTGTTTTGAACAGGTACAATTAAAAGGACAGAGTCTTGAACTTTAGTTCACATATTTATTCTTTTTAGAATAAAACATTTACTCTTCAAAGAAGAGTTCATCCAGGTTAATGATCAGGAACCTTAAACAATTACAAAACCACTTTAAGTAGCATTATTAAAGGGTACTTCTAAATCAAATCCTGGAGTGAAGTATTCACAATCTTAATCCTAATTTAAAAAATTAGGGTCTATCTCCGATTAGATCCATGAGATTTTGCAGCTGATTAACCAATGAAGCTGATTAACCAATCTGAATTTGTGAATAAATTCTTCCTGAAGGGAGTGAAAACCCATTTCCTGATTAATAATCTGGATACTTTTTTATAAAGAGATCTCAAGAGGGATAGTCCCACACATGTCAATCAATGCAAAGAATAAAGATTTCATTAAGATGGTGATTGATGTGAATTATTGGATTCAATGTTACTCCATAGAACAGATCTGAATTCTGGATCCAATTATTTTTAAACACTTGTATTTAAAGTAACTTCATAAGTTGCAGTTCAATTAGAAAATAATTGATTGATAAACATTGAAGCCCAGCCCTACTGATTTTTGGGGATCATTTATGTTTTACCAAATTTTCTTTTTAATGCAGGAAATAATTATGTTGAATGCAGTTTTAAGAATATTTGCTTTCCATAAAATACTTGTAATATAACAACAAATATCAGCAAAGCTGATTACGATGCACTCCTAAACATACTTACAAAGGAATAAGCACCATTGAGAACAGCGCAACTTAATACAAATGTGCTGATATTTATAGTTTTAGAGGAAAACGTTTAAATTACAATATGTGTAGTTTACTATTCACTGACTATTTTCAAACTATGGCTTTCATGCAGTATGTTAGAAAATAAGCAGTCATATGCAATTATTTTATTTCTATGAAGTATACAGAAGTGATTGTTTATTCAGTGGAGCCAGAATAAAAACTGAAATGCTGTGACAGTAAAAATACAAACTTTTGGGGAAAGATCACATCTCAATGATTGGAATATTGGATTTAGAAGCACCAGAAATTTTAACTGCAGATTTTTTTCTTTACTACCTTTTGGCTCTAAAAACAAGATTTTCTATTTCTCATCTTATGATCCAACCATGTGATTGCAGATCCCTAAAAAGAGTTTTGTAAAATTAGTAATCAGATTTATTTTAAGTAATACTTTAATGAGTTGTTGTATAGAACTAAATTTTCCAGAATGGATTGTTTATGCATTAAATATAGATATATTTTATCTAGATATTTTTGGTCAAGAAGTGTTTGTGCAGACCGCTCAGAAAATGCTGTAATTCATTATACTCCAAACATGTTTCAAGCTCCCTTTCTGCTTCTTCAGTGCAACTTTGCTTCTTAGGACTTGATGATGTCCAGGAAACAGTCTTTGGGAAGTAATATAGATTACTTCACTGTAGTCTTCTACTTGGCCTTTCTAATTAAATGGATTACTACCCCATCATCACGAGCTGAGCAGGCTCTTTTGAAAACAATCCAGAAATTTAAGATAGTGCAAAATACAACAGATCTTATATGGAACAAACATGGATATATAATAATATTTGTTTTCCTTTTTATAAACTTGTAATTAATTTCCAGGCTCACATTTTGACTGAAAAGCTGTACCTGGTTAGAAACCTAAAGAAACTCAACTCACAGACTGTGAAATCAAAGCTTGTCTTCATGAGAGAATAGAAGGTAGATCATAAATTCATGACTTGTGACTGTTCGTTTTTTAATTTATTATATTGTGAGTCACCTTATATCAACATACACCTTCATTATGAAATGTTTGCTGTAGAGAAGTTTGTCCAACAATTTATTTTTATTTACATTATTTAAGATATCATCTGAATGTTTCATTTCAGCCAAGTGCTTCATTTTTAATATTTACAGTGATCTTTAGTTCTCAGCTGTGAACTTACTTAGGTTTTTGTTTCCCCACTATTCAAAAATCTCTGCTAGACTTCTATTTTCTTAAGTAACTTATCCTTTACAATCTCAGACTGGCATAATTTTATCCCTTTTTCTTAATAAATTCAGCAAAGCATATTCAGTTTATTTTAGATTTTGAAATGTGTATACCTAAGAAAATGCAAAGGACTGCTTAAAATATTTAAGTTGAAAATAAAAACATGAGAAACATTCACACTGCTTTACACATTACACATATTGAAACTGCAACACAGTGCATATTTATTGTTCACTTCCTTAACAATCCTAGAGATAACTGCCATAAATAATTTTGCTGAGCAGAACCACTTCTTTTTGTCTTTTTTGTCCTTTATTCATGCAACAAATGAGACAAGCAGTAAAACTTTGCAGGAAAGAATAAGCCATCCAGATTCTTTTCCAGGATGTTTTATTCCAGAATTTGCTTGGTGATCATTGATATTATATGTCATCCCTCTATCCATCTTTCCATACCAATGTAAAGTTTGATTTTCACACCTGATAAATACAGAGAAGAAATTCACATTTGAAATATATGATGGTCAGGAATTAATTGTGGAATGCTCTTGAGCTTACTCTGCAATTTAGACAGAAATTCCTTTTTTAAAAAGGTAAATTAGTACTATAGATGTAAAGAAGGGGAAATATACGAAGAATCTCTCCTACATCTTCTAACTGATAAAGAAATATGCCTCACCAAAATGGAGATACATTGCCGGACCTTTTTTTTGGCCTTTGTAGCCCTTCCTTGAAAGCAGAGGAATTTATGACATTAGTTAATGCCATGGAAACTCCATGCTCAGAATGGAAGATGAAATTGCTTTCTAAAAGACAAAGGTCTTAAATATTAAAATTGTATTGCTCAGGTAACCCAGCTTTTTGAT